CTGGTAGTTTTATCGATCCTCAAAATGCAGTAGGGTGTACAATGCTGATTATGCTGATTTAACAAACTACACAAAGAAACCTTGTAAACACTTCATAAGATTGTGAATTTGCATCACTGCATAATGCACCTATAATTGTTGTATGCTGGTTCCAGGGCCTCTATCTTATTGAATCATGGTTGCAAATAAACATTTTACATTTGAATGTTTATTTTTTTTTTTTGGGGGGGGGGGGTTAAAGATAATATGCATCTTGGAATGACCTCATGCAAGATAATGGAGAGTATACAACTCAATTTTGACCAGTTCATTCCATATAAACACTTGCTATTGTTTGTATAGTTGGAGAAAATTGTGATATGGGGGGGGGGTATTCCCCTATTATCATTAGATAAAAAAGTGTGTACCGGTAGTTATTAAAACCTGCCTTTCCTACCTAAACTTGATTACATACAGTGAAGATTTTATTCCAAATTGGTGTTGACATTACATCACATTTGAAATAAACACTTGTATATTGCTGGAAACAGTGGAGTGTTAAAAAAAACCCTAAGACAGCGTACCTTTGATAGACTCAGAACCATTATTTGCAAAATGTGATTTAACATTCTTGTACCTTTGGCGACAAGGGTATTACACCACATGCGATGCTGGAACCAGTGTTAATACGCCTAGCAGCAGACATGCTGAATACTACAAGGTAGAGTGAGAGACCACCTGCATACTTTTACCCCCCTTATTTTCATGGCAGACAAAAGCAGTTTGGAAAGAGCTGAGCCAACTGTAGTACATACTAGTAGATTATTTCAGAATGGAATCTCTAGCCTACACAAATCACAAATAATATGGATCCTGAAAAGCCTAATTGGTCTCAAGTATAAACCTATGGCAGGGATTCATCACCATCTGTAACCGTGGTCATGGACACATTGAAATTAGGATATAAACCTATGGCAGGGATTCATCACCATCTGTAACCGTGGTCATGGACACATTGAAATTAGGATATAAACCTATGGCAGGGATTCATCACCTTCATCTGTAACCGTGGTCATGGACACATTGAAATTAGGATATAAACCTATGGCAGGGATTCATCACCTTCATCTGTAACCGTGGTCATGGACACATTGAAATTAGGATATAAACCTATGGCAGGGATTCATCACCTTCATCTGTAACCGTGGTCATGGACACATTGAAATTAGGATATAAACCTATGGCAGGGATTCATCACCTTCATCTGTAACCGTGGTCATGGACACATTGAAATTAGGATATAAACCTATGGCAGGGATTCATCACCTTCATCTGTAACCGTGGTCATGGACACATTGAAATTAGGATGGGGAACCCAGGAGGGTGTTAGTTCCTGGGCAAGGTTCAGAACAAAAAGGTTTTATTTCACTGCAACAACTCAACAGTAGTGGCTTAACGCATACTAGAGAGAGAGCTGAACTGAACATCATATTGACAGCAGTGATATTGAATTGGTCAGTGAGAAGTTGGTTTCCACTTCAGGTAGCAAAGTTGATTGACATACCAGATAATACATAAATATGACACAAAAGCACATTGATCTCCCTACGAGTCTGGCACTGTTCCAATTAAAAGTTGAATTTTCTAGCGTGCTTGCTTTTCACACGCACACACTTCTACCAGACCTCGGCCGTGTATGGATGGTTTTTGTTCATATGCATCGCCATAGCTACTCTAGAGTACTGAATTTATACGTCACTTCTTTCTATATGTTCTTTTTATATCCTGCAATAAAGATTTAATAATAAAAGTATGCCTATCATGCCAAGACGTGGTCACCAAGACACCAAGACATGGTCGTCACCAAGACACCAAGACATGGTCGCCACCAAGACATGTACAAATGGTATCCAGTCTCTTGTAGAAAAAAGAACCAAGAATACAGTTCATATTTGCATAATGTTGTTTTTATTGAACAATCTCCATTCACTGTGATATACAGATAGAATTCATTGACGTACATACTATATCAAGGTTCACATTATTGGTAAAATCTCACATCAATTATGGTCTAAAAATAGTCTTGTTTCAGAAGAGTACAGCTAAAATACACTTCAAATTTTACTCTGGACCCACAAAACAAAAATTATACAGACATCAAATACTGTTTATGGTTTGTTTCAAAACAAAATATGTAACATGGGCAACATAAAGAAAGTTGGACTGCACATACAAATGTGACATAAATTACAAATTCACTAAACAGACATGGTTCTTCTGAAGTATTGTTCAAAGCAAAACTGATATGTTAAACTTTCTTTTTTCTATTAGGCTACATAGGGTATCTATTGTTTATTTTTAAAATAGATGACTAATATCTGTTTACACTAACTTACCATCACAATACAACTGAACATTACAAATTTAGTTTCTCAACATGGCCTGGCAGCTTTAGAATGGGTGGGAGAAGATAGGCTTTGTAGAAATGAAGCTGAATTCACCTGTACAACTCTAGCTTAATCCCACTGCTGCAGAATAATTAAATTACATGCAACACACTAAATGCTGTTTTCATCGTAATTTCAGTTTAACAAAATCGCACACTACGTAAAAACAACTAGTCATCAAGGTCTTGCTACAATAATTTAACTTGTATCCAATAGTAGAGGGCTGTTAAGCTGAAGGAATAATTTATGATTTGGAATTTAACATTTCAAAATGAGTTCTTCAAATTTGAAGTATGTTGCTGCATTATTGCTTAACAAAAGCATACACCATAAATATGATGATGTTGGCAGTTTTAAATAATCAGGCACAAGTTCACAAATCTAATACTTAATCAAAAGGTCAAAATCACCAAAAAAAGACAGTTTTTATAAAGAGTGAGAGTGCTATTCAACACTTTTAAACAAACCAACACATAGGGGCGTTATTCACTTGCAGTAAAAAAAAACTGGAAGATCACGTGACACTAGACTACATTACTATCAAGGTTATGGTTAATAATTTAATTATTATACATAGTTAATCTTTTGCTGTTGAAAATGTTTTAATATGTACATCAGTGTTTTAATAATTTTGTCAAATACGCTCCCTGATTTTTGAACTTCCCCCTCCCTCCCAAAGAAACACTTGACAAATATTATCCAACCTCATCTAATCTAAAATCTATCACATCATTTATGGATGTCTAGTAACACATACAACTACAAGGTATGACTGAGACATTCTTCATACCATACTTCAGACATTTAATTTTCCATCATTTGTGGCCTTCTTAAGTGTTGAAAGCTGTTTAATTCATGTTGTTTTAATTTCAATTTAGGGGAGGGGGAAGGGGGCAGGGATTGTATGAAATACCAACCAACACACATACTAACAAGACTTTTAGTTTGTTTACTTTCAGCTGAAAAAGACATGAATGTCACAGTCCCCGTTATTTAATTATAAAATACTCATGTTAAAATAATACATCTGCAAACAATTGAATATTATGTACTCTGTGTTTGTACAACTCATCATAAAGTGATTTCTCTTAATCTGATAACTTTCATTGACCCAGGTCCAAAATCTCAGAGTACACAAGTGCAACCAAACTATGTCTCATACATGCTCAAAAAACTGCATTCAAAAATCTGAGTAAACCTTGATGTACCTTTAATAACAACTTGACTTCTTTGTTAATTTAGGTCTTTGTACATTACCAGGACCTGGATTTGTTTCATTATCACCACTATAATTCCTATTAAAATGTAGCTCTGACACCCCTCAACATTTTCCACTGAGATTGGTAATGGTACTGTCACTAATTCATGACCAGGTCATGACATCACTACAAACTCTAGCATACAATCTAAGCTAATTATTTATTCTGAGCATGCTCAGTTGCTCTGTCAGTGTCGTAGGGAGAGGTAATTTTGGATGAAAATCTTAAAAAAGACCTACTTAGGATTTTTAGATCTAGAAAAAAAAATTATGTGCATACCCAGCAGAGACTTGTCATCAACCTGCCAAGTTTCATTGATATCTGCTGCAGAATTTCTGAGGAAATGTTAGAGACGTCACAGACGGAGAATTGAAATAAGAATTAATAGTCGCCTTCAGGCTGCGCCTGAAACAGGGACTAAATAATCTCTGCAGTGAAGCGGACTTTTTACGATTGATTGAGGAATAGTACTAATATTTTGAGTGGTAAAATAATCCAGTGAACTACTTAATTGTGCACTGACTACACCATGCACACAATCACCCAATTCCCTGTAAGCAATTAGAAAGTCACACAACTCAGCATAAATACAATTAACTCAACTTGATTTCATGACTGTTGAGGTGACTATAACATCACATGGTTGAATTACTACATTGTATATATTGAATACCTTGCCTGTATTCACAATATGTGGTGTTCCTGTCCTCTGTGTGATTGGATAATCATAATGATATCACTGTGTTATACATTGGAGGTAATCAATTCATACAAATCCAGAAATGCCCCCAAAATACAAAAACAACCAATCTTAATCTTGATGTCTTTGCGGTCTATGAGTTAACAACATTATTATATTCAACATTTACATATTAATCATGATAAAATCATATTCTCTCATACATGTAATCCATCCCCATGTTAACCAGGGTTTAGTATTTGCTTCAATGCTGATAACTTGGTAATACAACTCGTATCTCTCACATTCAAATATTAATGCCATATTTAATTCTCACTTTGAAATTATGATATCATAGTTAATATATTAATTTCCCCAAATAGCAGGATAGGAGTCATGAGTAGATCAATGATACTACCATTCATGTCTTCTGTACATTCATTCTCTCATTCCTATCAAATTACACATATGCAAGTTATATATGGCAGGATATAGCTTATTTCATTATTTCATTTTCTGTATTCTTTACCTATCCTGATGACTGCACTTAAAATCATTAATATTATATAAGGTTTTATATACAAAGCATTTAAATCACTTTTAAGACTGGTTTGTGTGAAACCTAGCTGTCATCATTCAGTATGCATCTCTGTACTCATGGTGCCATTTCTGAAAGTTAATGTTGAATATTACTATACTTCCTGATGATAAACCGGCAATCATGGTTCTGTAGAGATAAAGTTAATGAAATACATTTTAATGAGAAGTTTGTTTTAATAGCAGTTATTCTATGGTGATTACTTTGCATTATATGCAGGTTATGCAGGATTTGTAAAATGAGGCTATGCAACATGAAGTCACATGAATCAGAAATGATCAGAAATCACAAATAAATTAGTCTGTCAGAGGACTGATTACTCTGTCAGAGAAATGATCAATCTGTCAGAGAATTGATTAGTTTGTCAGAGGACTGATTAGTCTGTCAGAGGACTGATTAGTCTGTCAGAGGAATGATCAATCTGTCAGAGAAATGATCAATCTGTCAGAGAATTGATTAGTTTGTCAGAGGACTGATTAGTCTGTCAGAGGACTGATTAGTCTGTCAGAGAATTGATTAGTCTGTCAGAGAATTGATTAGTCTGTCAGAGGAATGATCAATCTGTCAGAGGACTGATTAGTCTGTCAGAGGACTGGTTAGTCTGTCAGAGGAATGATCAATCTGTCAGAGGACTGATTAGTCTGTCAGAGGACTGATTAGTCTGTCAGAGAATTGACGAGACTGTCAGAGAATTGATTAGTTTGTCAGAGGACTGATTAGTCTGTCAGAGGAATGATCAATCTGTCAGAGAATTGATCAGTCTGTCAGAGAATTGATTAGTCTGTCAGAGAATTGATTAGTCTGTCAGAAAATTGATTAGACTGTCAGAGATTTGATTAGTCTGTCAGAGATTTGATTAGTCTGTCAGAGAATTGATTAGATTGTCAGAGGAATGATCAATCTGTCAGAGAATTGATTAGTCTGTCAGAGGACTGATTAGTCAGTCAGAGGAATGATCAATCTGTCAGAGAATTGATCAGTCTGTCAGAGGACCGATTAGTCTGTCAGAGGACCGATTAGTCTGTCAGAGGACTGATTAGTCTGTCAGAGGACTGATTAGTCTGTCAGAGGAATGATCAATCTGTCAGAGAATTGATTAGTTTGTCAGAGGACTGATTAGTTTGTCAGAGGACTGATTAGTCTGTCAGAGGACTGATTAGTCTGTCAGAGGACTAATTAGTCTGTCAGAGATTTGATTAGACTGTCAGAGAATTGATTAGTCTGTCAGAGAATTGATTAGACTGTCAGAAGAATGATTAATCTGTCAGAGAATTGATTAGTCTGTCAGAGGACTGATTAGTCTGTCAGAGGACTGATTAGTCTGTCAGAAAATTGATTAGTCTGTCAGAAAATTGATTAGACTGTCAGAGATTTGATTAGTCTGTCAGAGAATTGATTAGATTGTCAGTGGAATGATCAGTCTGTCAGAGGACTGATTAGTCTGTCAGGAATGATCAATCTGTCAGTGAATTGATTAGTTTGTCAGAGGACTGATTAGTCTGTCAGAGGACTGATTAGTCTGTCAGAGGAATGATCAATCTGTCAGAGAATTGATTAGTTTGTCAGAGGACTGATTAGTCTGTCAGAGAATTGATTAGACTGTCAGAGGAATGATCAATCTGTCAGAGAATTGATTAGTCTGTCAGAGAACTGATTAGTCTGTCAGAGATTTGATTAGACTGTCAGAGAATTGATTAGTCTGTCAGAAAATTGATTAGACTGTCAGAGATTTGATTAGTCTGTCAGAGAATTGATTATATTGTCAGAGGAATGATCAGTCTGTCAGAGAATTGATTAGATTGTCAGAGGAATGATCAGTCTGTCAGAGGACTGATTAGTCTGTGAGAGGAATGATCAATCTGTCAGAGAATTGATTAGTCTGTCAGAGGATTGATTACTCTGTCAGAGGAATGATCAATCTGTCAGAGAATTGATTAGACTGTCAGAGATTTGATTAGTCTGTCAGAAAATTGATTAGACTGTCAGAGATTTGATTAGTCTGTCAGAAAATTGATTAGACTGTCAGAGGAATGATCAGTCTGTCAGAGGACTGATTAGTCTGTCAGAGGAATGATCAATCTGTCAGAGAATTGATTAGTCTGTCAGAGGACTGATTACTCTGTCAGAGGAATGATCAATCTGTCAGAAAATTGATTAGACTGTCAGAGATTTGATTAGTCTGTCAGAAAATTGATTAGACTGTCAGATATTTGATTAGTCTGTCAGAAAATTGATTAGACTGTCAGAGGACTGATTAGTCTGTCAGAGGAATGATCAATCTGTCAGAGAATTGATTAGTCTGTCAGAGGACTGATTACTCTGTCAGAGGAATGATCAATCTGTCAGAGAATTGATTAGTTTGTCAGAGGACTGATTAGTCTGTCAGAGGACTGATTAGTCTGTCAGAAATTTGATTAGACTCTCAGAGAATTGATTAGTCTGTCAGAAAATTGATTAGACTGTCAGAGATTTGATTAGTCTGTCAGAGAATTGATTAGATTGTCAGAGGAATGATCAGTCTGTCAGAGGACTGATTAGTCTGTCAGAGGAATGATCAATCTGTCAGAGAATTGATTAGTCTGTCAGAGGACTGATTACTCTGTCAGAGGAATGATCAATCTGTCAGAGAATTGATTAGTTTGTCAGAGGACTGATTAGTCTGTCAGAGGACTGATTAGTCTGTCAGAGGAATGATCAATCTGTCAGAGAATTGATTAGTCTGTCAGAGAATTGATTAGTCTGTCAGAGAATTGATTAATCTGTCAGAGAATTGATTAGACTGTCAGAGAATTGATTAGACTGTCAGAGAACTGATTAGTCTGTCAGAGAATTGATTAGTCTGTCAGAGGACTGATTAGTCTGTCAGAGGACGAATTAGTCCGTCAGAGAACTGATTAGTCTGTCAAAAGACTGATTATTCTGTCACATTTTTTTAAGCATTCACTGCATTCTGTGATGCTATCCCTGCCCAGCTAAAACACAAAGCAGACAGACAAGATTTTTGACATTATCCTGCCCAGCTGATGAACTTACCTCATGTCGTGTGATAGTGATAAATGTAAGATACTATGATCACAGTACGGGAAAGTATAAAGATGTTTGAAATCAAACGTTCTCCAGACTTCAATTACTTTGTTGTCACCAGCAGTTAAGAAATATTCACCATCCGGCGTACATCTAATAGTCTACGAGGACAAATAATAATATTGAGTAAATATAATTTATATTTAATATTATTATTAGAAATAGGTGTTTGCTTTTCACTCCTCTCCTGTGTGAGGCACAGTTTTCACTTGCAATTTGCACTAACAAAATAGAAAAAAGTCAGGAGAGACAACAGTGACATTCAATGTACGGAACTGTCGCCTGGCACAAAAACATTTAAAAATCAAAGAAAGCTTAGAAAGAACTCCTGTGTGCTGAGAGTTTTGGAGACACATTAAAAATTAATTCAAAATTACTTATACTTGAGATATTGATGGAATAGCTCAAAACTAATTATGCAAATAAGGTAACTAATATGAACAGATTTAAGTGTAAAACTAAAGGTCTGCACAATGTACCAAGTTTCATTGAAATGTGATTAGAACCAAAAAAATATTAATTATGCTAATTAGAGAATTAATATGAACAGATTTTAACCCAAAATTAATCAGGCTGTCTATTGTCCTAGAGCATTTATGTACCAAGTTTTATTCAAATGCGATGATCAATACTTGAGATATCAGTATTAATTATGTTAATTAGGTGATTAAGAAGCATAAATATTTACCAAAAACTAATATGGTGCATAGTCTGAGGTTCATTGAAATGTGATGGGCACTCTTTAAAAGTTTCATTGAAATCCAATGAGTGGTTTTTAGACATCAGTGCAACAGCC